GGGGTACGAGGAGTTACAAACGGAATGACAAAGTTAATATACCCTCCATAGTTTGGTGGAGGGTATAAAAACTCCACGACCAAAAAAGAAAAACCAACTGCAATGGCAATTCCATCATCTGTGGGGAGGCTGCCACCGCTGTACACAGTAGCAACAGCAGCAGCAGTCATCATCTCCATCTGTTGCTCCTCTCTCCCTCTCTTTCGAATTGTAACCGCAACATTCGCAACCATATCGAAATTGCATTTGTGTCTGCCACCACCACCGGCACCGCAAGCATGACCAAAGTGATATATGTCCCGTGTTGCATTAACACGAAGCTTGCAACCATTTGTTGTTGTTGTTGTCTCTGTTTCGGATATTTGCGGATATTTGTTTTAACTCTGGGGGCATCATTGCTTGGCATTGGCTGCCGGGGAATAAAGGTATCCGATTTTTTTCGGTTTTTTGGCAGCTACTGTTTCGTTGTTCCACAAATGTCCCACACTCGGTAGAGCTTGTCTGATGGATGGCTAGAGGATGGATGCTTCACACAATTCCGCCCAGAAGCGTGTGAAAGGACAAATAAAGGGAAATGACACATAATATTGTTTAAGCTGTGCTAATGTGTATGCGAGGATGTGGGATGGGTGAACAAAGGAATAAAGTTTTCGGATGATAGTGTGACGAAAGTGAATGACAACTAGAACTAATGTAGGAAGGAAATTATAAAAAAATGTTACAAAATTTGGATCCCAGAATTTTGATACCCTACACCTCTTTGCATATTTAGTCGAGCTTCACATAACAAACAAAAGTTTTTAGGGAGGATTTGTGAGAATTAAATCATACCAACTGCGATTATAGTTACAATTTAAAGACGAAAGGAACTAATATATGAGAGGCATATCCTGCTCTGATTCGATTTCTACTAAATGTCTACTAACTTGAAATCGGATAATCGGAACCGATCTCTATAAAATTTGGCAAAGCTATTTCGGAGTTTTAATTGATATATTTCCTCGAATAACATTATTACGGAGGGCATATTATGGCTGCGGAAGACAAACATAACAAATCGGATAAACAATATATTATATGGGAGCTATAGCTATATCTGAACCGAATTTCGCCAAATTTGACATACTGGTTTCTAGGCTCAATTTGATCGTAAGTGCCAAATTCCATCCCATTAGGGCTAGTATTACAAATTTGGTGCACAATAAAAGGCAAATCGGACGAAGGTATATATGGGAGCTATGGGAGCCAAATCTGAACCGATCTCGACAAAATCGGACAAAGGTATTTCTGAGCTGCATTTGATATATTTTCCCAAATATCGTTGTTACAGAGCGCATATTTCGGCTGCGAAGGACAAAAATAACAAATCGGATAAACTCAAGATATGGGCCTATAGCTACATATATCTGAACCGATTTCGATCAAATTTGGCATGCTTATTTCCAGGACTAATTAAGGCGTTTGTGCAAAATTCCACACTATTTGGACTAATATTACACATTTGGTGCACAATAAAAGGCAAATCGGACGAAGATATATACGGGAGCTATATCTAAACTTTGACCGATTATCTCCAATTTCAATAGGGTTCGTCCTTGGGCCAAACAAATGATTTGTGCAAAATTGGATCTGGACTGGATCGGGCAATAAATGCGAACTGTACTTTGTTTACAAAAATACATGGATGGATGGACAGACATGCTTAAATCGACTCATAATGTGTTTCTATGCAGATTATCAAAAGGAACTATGGGTCTATTTGGTTTCCTATTGCCCCTCACAAACAAATGCACAAAGACATAATACCCTGACCAACTTGTGGTGTGGGGTATAAAAGTTAGTCCTTCGGAACATAACGCCCCATAAATATATACAACAAAATTTGGTAAGCCTATGTGTAATGACAACCCTTTACCCTATGCCTTACAGGCAGACATAAAAAATGGCATAATTCTGCAGTACCAGAAAGCTAAAAAATGGCAAAATTTATTTCCATAACTTTTACAAGGCAAAAAACAACTTACTTTTACCTTACCAAGTAATGAGAGAGTACGGCAATGCAGGTCCAATCAAAAAAAAAAAAACAAAATAAAAAGTATCAGCCGGTTTCGCCGACAGATGTATACCCTCAGTCAATGTTCGATTGTTTAAATATATTTTGACTTCTACTATGATTGTTTAAATTGTTGACCCTCCATAGAGTAGGTTACGAAGGAATGGACCAATATTGTCCATTTCGTATAGGAACTAGATAAATATGATATAAATACTGCGACGTGCCAGTTTTGGACTGTCGAGCATTTATATCCAATCTGACTTTTTATGACAGATAAAAGTATTGAAAAATTGTGACCCTTTGTGGGTGAGGTACCAGAAGGGATTAACAGACATATATCATCTTCACAACAGATCCTGGGTTAGTAAAAAAATTTAGATGTATGGAATGTGAAGATAGTTGGATGCTTTCTTTAAGCGTTTTGTTTTTGCCCTATGTGGGTAGGTCCCAGAAGAAATGGCCCGATGTTTACCATCTTTATAACAGATCTTGTGTTGATGGAAATATTTAGAAGTACCAAGTCTGAATACAATCGGCTACTTACTTTCCCGTTTTATGAGCTTTATGGATGTTCGAAATGTTGTCCCTTTGCGGGGGAGGAGTGGACCGATATATTTCGCCTTCACATCAGTCCTTGGGTTAATAAAAAAAATTGATTTGTGTAATTTGAAGAGAACCGGATGGTTATTTCGGATTTTATAATCGTTTAGGTTATTCAAAACTTTGACTCTTTGTGGGGGAGGTACCAGAAGGAATGGTCCAATCTCTACTGTTTTTATAACAGATCCTGTGTTGATGGATATATATACAGATGTGCCTAGTCTAAATGGAATCGGATGCTAATTTCGCGTTTTATGAGCTTTGTGGATACTCAAAATTTTGACCCTTTGTGGGGGAGGTACCAGAAGGAGTGGATCGATATATCCCATCTTCACACCAGACCTTGGGTTAATAAAAATATTGTGATGTGTGCAATTTAAAGAGAAAGGGATTCATATTTCGAATTTTATGATCGTTTTTGTTATTTAAAACCTGAACCCTTTGTTAGGGAGGTACCAGAAGAAATAGTCCGATTTTTTCCGTCTTTATAGCAAATCTTGTGTTGATGAAACTATTGAGGTGTGCCAAGTCTGGATGGAATCGGATGTTCATTTCGTGTTTTATGAGCTTCAGGAGTATTTAAAATTTTGACCTTTGGTGAGGGAGGTTCCAGAAGGAGTGGACCGATCTCAACCATTTTCACACCTGGTCTTGGGTAAATAAAAATATTGTGATGTGTGTAATTTGAAGACATTCGGACTCTTACATCCCATTTTATAAGAGTTATAATTATTCAAAATGTTGACACTTTGTGGGGGAGGTACTTGATGGAGTGGACCGATATAGTCCATTTTCGCACCTGACCTAGCACTGATGAAAATATTAGCATTTGCAAAGTTGGATCAAAATTGGGCTATCCTTTCTCTTTCTGTGCAGTAAATTATTGTCTTTAAAATGTTGACATTTTGTGGCGGAGGTACCAGAAGGAGTGTATCGATATTGCCCATCTCCGAAGTCGATCTAAGATTAATAATAATATGTACCAGGTTTGGACGAAATCGGATACTCCCTTCGAAAGTTGTCGTACGCACCAGCCAGACGAACGAACGGACAGACATGGCTAGATCGACTCTAAATGTCCTGAAACGATTTTGGTCCAAAAAGAGACCTGGGGTCTAACACCTTTATTTCGATGAGGCACGTTTTGGCCGTATCAAATGATATATACCCTCTCTTTAGCCATATGGCTGAGAGTATAAAAATTGATTTTTTGCCACCCAGTGTTTTCGATGTGGGAGGCCACACATTTGGTCCCCATTTTCCTTAAAATCCGCCTTTTTAATATGTAAAAAAATCTCCAATTATTTATAAATTCTTGTCAGTTTCAGTTAAACCCAAAATTATTAACAAAAATAACAACAAAACCAACTACTAGTTTTTTTAACAAAACCTCAAGGAACCTAAAAATAATGGAAATTACATTTTTTCTATTATGGAGCTGGAGCTGAAGATGAATTTGAATTTGTTGCGGTTATAAATTTTCCTCAATGTGTTGTTCCCTTTTCAAGGCAAAAAAAAAAAAAAAACAAAACATTTTCCATTTGAATAGAAAAAAAGAAGAAGATGAAACCTGAAAGAATATGGAAAGGCCAAGAAGGTCACAAACAAACAAAAAAACTTTAAATGAGAAAAAAAGAATAATAACAAATTCTGGAGAACCAAATGAAGTGGAAAGGAATGAAAATCGAAAAGTAAAGAATGAAAAGAAAACAAAAAAAGAATTACGACACTAACAAATGATGATTTGATGTTAAGGAGCGGAATAGAGTAGCACAAAGTCATCAAAAGTTAAACACCATCATCCACGTCGTCGTTGTCGTAGTCGTCATGGCTGGAGAATAGATGGATGGATCCCGGACTACAACAACGAAGAAAAAGATGAACCGAAATTGTGATGTATGGCACGCATTTCCTGCTTAAGAAACTGGCAGGGCAGAACAAATAGACCGCTGGAGTGCACTCCAGCGCAACACCCAGTCAGGCAGCTAGGCAGCCTGCCTGCCTGTCTAGGGAGCAGCAGTTTTGTGTATTAATTAGGTTTCCTTTATTTTCTGAACACGACGACCACGGCGAAGACGTCCAACCAATGACTCTAATAAATGCCTAAATGGTGAACGGAAAAAAAACGTATTCCAAATTCGTTTCACACGTTCCTCACACACACAGAGGCCATGCCAGGCAGGTGGATAAGTTAAAGAGTGTGACGTTTTGTCGGCAATACTAATAGCTGACGTTTTAAGGTAATTTGTTATCTTAGCTTTTTTCTCTGTTTTTTTTTTTTCTTCATTTTTCGACTGGGGTGGTGTCTTCTGAAGTCAATGGAATTTTAAGAAGTTTCACTTACTTGGATTATTGTTGGTTTCACGCCAATGTGTTGCCGCCTGACAGCCAAATGTTGCACGACTGATACCCTTACAGCAGGACCATCGTTTACCCGACCAGAGACCCGGATGAAAACGATATGATTTGGGGGTATTGGTGTCCTCGCAAACTGGAAAGAGACAACAAAACACAATATTGGGATAAATGAGAGAAGAAATATATTTTTCTAAGGGAGGGGATTTTCTATAGGAAAATCTATGGAGATTTTCTATAGGAAAATCTATGGAGATTTTGTATAGAAAAATCTATGGAGATTTTTTATAAGAAAATCTGTGGAGATTTTCTATAGGAAAATCTAGAGATTTTCTATAGGAAAATCTAGAGATTTTCTATAGGAAAATCTAGAGATTTTCTATAGGAAAATCTAGAGATTTTCTATAGAAAAATATGCGGAGATTTTCTATACGAAAATCTGTGGAGATTTTCTATAGGAAAATCTGTGGAGATTTTCTATAGGATAATCTGTGGAGATTTTCTATAGGAAAATCTGTGGAGATTTTCTATAGGAAAATCTGTGGAGATTTTCTATAGGAAAATCTGTGGAGATTTTCGATGAGAAAATCTGGGGAGATTTTCGATGAGAAAATCCGGCGGGATTTTCGATGAGAATATTTGGGGAGATTTTCGATGAGAAAATCTATGGAGATTTTTTATAGGAAAATCTGTGGAGATTTTCTATAGGAAAATCTGTGGAGATTTTCTATAGGAAAATATGTAGAGATTTTCTATAGGAAAATATGTAGAGATTTTCTATAAGAAAATATGTAGATATTTCCTATAGGAAAATCTGTGGAGATTTTCTATAGGAAAATCTAGAGTATTTCTATGGGAAAATCTAAAGATTTTCTTTGGGAAAATCTATGGAGATTTTCTATAGGAAGATCTAGAGAGATTTTCTATAGGAAAATCTGTGGAGATTTTCTATGGGAAAATCTGTGGAGATTTTCTATGGGAAAATCTGTGGAGATTTTCTATAGGAAAATCTGTGGAGATTTTCTATAGGAAAATCTGTGGAGATTTTCTATAGGAAAATCTGTGGAGATTTTCTATAGGAAAATCTGTGGAGATTTTCTATGGGAAAATCTGTGGAGATTTTCTATGGGAAAATCTGTGGAGATTTTCTATGGGAAAATCTGTGGAGATTTTCTATGGGAAAATCTGTGGAGATTTTCTATGGGAAAATCTGTGGAGATTTTCTATGGGAAAATCTGTGGAGATTTTCTATGGGAAAATCTGTGGAGATTTTCTATGGAAAAATCTGTGGAGATTTTCTATAGGAAAATCTAGAGATTTTCTATAGGAAAATGTAGAGATTTTCTATAGGAAAATCTAGATAGATTTTCTATAGGAAAATCTAGATAGATTTTCTATAGGAAAATCTAGATCGATTTTCTATAGGAAAATCTAGATAGATTTTCTATAGGAAATCTAGATAGATTTTCTATAGGAAAATCTAGAGATTTTCTATAGGAAAATCTAGATAGATTTTCTATAGGAAAATCTAGATAGATTTTCTATAGGAAGATCTAGAGGGATTTTCTATAGGAAGATCTAGAGAGATTTTCTATAGGAAAATTTAGAGGTGTTCTATAGGAAAATCTAGAGATTTTCTATGGGAAAATCTAAAGAGGTTTTCTATAGGAAAATCTACAGAGATTTTCTATAGGAAATCTACAGAGATTTTCTATAGGAAAAGCTACTGAGATTTTCTATGAGAAAATTGTCAAAGATTTTTCTATAGGAAAATCTAGCGATTTTCTATAAAAAAAAAACTGTGGAGATTTTCGATGAGAAAACCTGTGAAGATTTTCTATAAGAAAATCTGTGGAGATTTTCGATGAGAAAATCTGTGAAGATTTTCTATGAGAAAATCTACAGAGATCTTCTAAGAAAATCTGTGGAGATTTTCTGATAGAAAATCTTGACAGATTTTCTCATGGAAAATCTCTTACAGAAAATCTCAAGATTTTCAAGATGAGAAAATCTGTGGAGATTTTCAAGATGAGAAAATCTGTGGAGTTTCTATAGGAAAATCTGTGGAGATTTTCTAGGAGAAAATCTGTAGAGATTTTTTTTCAGATTTTCTATGAGAAATCAATGGACTTTTTATACCCTCAGCCATATGGCTAGAGAGGGTATATATCACTTGATACGGCAAAAACGTGTCTCCTCCAAATAACGGTCTAAGACCCTAGGTCTCTTTGGCCAAATCCGTTTCAGGACATTTGGAGTCACCAAAAAGATGTCTGTCTGTTTGTCTGGCTGACTGGTGCGCACGATAACTCTCGAATAACTCTCCACACTTGATACATCGTATAATTATTGTAAAAGTACATCGAGTTCGGAGATGTGCAGTATCGGTCCACTCCTTCTGGTACCTGCCCCACAAAAGGTCAATATTTTCAAAAACAAAAAAAAAATATTTTATTGCACAGAAAGAGAAGGGTATAATCCCCATTTGCTCCAACTTTGCAAATCCTAATATATGCATCAGTGGTAGGTCAGGTGTGAAAATGTATAATATCGGTCCACTCCATCAAGTATTCCCCCCCCCCCAACCGGTTCCATTCAGACCTGGCACATCTCAATATTTCTATCAGCACAATATCTGTCATAAAGATGGGAGGTATCGGACCATTTCTTCTGGTACCTCTACTAAAACAAGATCTGCTGTGAAGATGAAATATATCTGTCCACTCCTTGTAGGTACCACAGGGGTTCAAAGTTTTGAATAACCTATACGATTATAAAATCCGAAATAAGCATCCGGTTCTCTTCATATTTCACACGTCCAATTTTTTTTACTAACACAAGATCTGCTGTGAAGATGGAATACATCGTTCCACTTCTTCTGATACCTCCCCCACAAAGGGTGAACATTTTGAATATCCAAGAAGCTCATAAAACGGGAAATTAGCATCCGACTCAATACAAGATCTGTTATAAAGATGGTAGAGATCGGACTATTTCTTCTGATACCGCACCCACATAGGTCAAAGTTTTGATTAAAAAAAAAAACCGATTATAGAGATCGGACCACTCCTTCTGGTACCTCCCTCATAAGAGGTCAAAGTTTTAAATAACCGAAACGATTATAAAATTCGAAACGAGCTTCCGTTTCTTTTCATATCTTACACATCCCATACTTTTTACAACCACTAGAGCTGATGTGAAGATGGAGCATGTCCGTAAACTCCTTCTGGTACCTCCCCCACAAAGGGTCAAAATTTTGAATGTCCGAAAACGTGAATTTATCTTCCGACCATTTTCAAACTTCACACATTTCAATATTTGTGTTAACACAAATTCTGATGTGAAGATGGGTTATATCGGCCAACTACTTCGGGTACCTCCCTCATCCACAAAGGGATCAATATTTGGAAAAACTTAAACGCTCAAAAATGCGAAACAGTCATCCAATTCTTTTCAAATTTCACGCTTTCCAATATTTTTACTAATGCCAGATCTTGTGTGATGCTGTGGTATATCGATGCGCTCTCTATCATACGAATGTTCGATTTTCTTGTAATTTTGCCCATATCAATATTTGTATCTGTATCCGATACCTCACGCACATTTCAATATTGTTTAAAAATAATCACATATCTCATTTAAAGTGAAAGAAGTCGATGTCGATATTATCCGATGGCACATCGCAATATTTGTTTATTTATTTAGGTGCGACACGAAATGGAGACTATTGGCCCATTCCTTCGGAACCTACTCCATAGAGGGTCAAACATTTCGGATAATCATAACAGAAGTCAAAATATATTTAAATAATCAAACATTGGCGGAGGCTATACATCTGTCGGCAAAACCGACTGATACTTTTTGACTAGTTTCATGAGATTTTGAAACAAAGATCTTTCAATATCATTCTAATAGTTTTTATGGCCCCATATCTATTTCCTACTGTTTTAATGGTGTCCGTATTCACATTTAAGGCTGGTCACCTTTGGCGATTATAGTCTCCCGGAGTCGATTACAAATTTTTATGTTAGCACTTTTCTAAATCAGAATATTATTCATATTCTGATTTAGGAAAGTGCTAACATAAAAAGTTATAATCGACACCGGTAAACTATAATCGTTAAAGATGACCAGTCTTCAATTTGGAATTAGATAATAGAAAATAAAACTCCTATTAAAATCTTCAACACCAACTAGTATTTGTTAGAAGAAAGGGGGGAGAGCAGGTTACGAAAACAAGCAAGTTGAAGAAAGAAGACAAAAGGAACCACAAGAAAACTCCATCAAGACAGCCAGCCTACACCCATGAGAACCAAAAAAAAAATAGGTTTTGGGTGAAAAGACAATCCAAGAAGACATGGGAGGGGTTAAGTTGAAACCTCAACCCAAGAAGAAAAAAACACACATTTACAGGATTAGAAATTGGGTCAATTCGTAAACGAATAGTTCAAATTATCAAGAGTCAAAAGATCACGACATTGGTAGCATCATAATCATAATCGACGACGACGGCACCATTGTCGTTGCCAACACCATCTTCCCCCAGCATCACAAGGCAGACCAGCAGGCAGAGAGGTATTGGCAGTCACCACACCACAAGATAGCACATTACGTGGATTCCACTCTGGTGGAAGAGAACATATCTTCTGCCCAAACATGAAATCTTCATTCTCACTGTTGGCGTCCCGACTTCTTAACCTCCTTCTCCTCATTCTCCTCCCTGTAATCATAAATGAATTTTACTTAACTCAAAGAGAATGAAAAGCAAGAATCAACGCAACATCCAATCAAACCAGTCGCCAAAAAACCCACAACCAAAACCCCAATGTCTGCAAATAAAGGCCAAAAACTTTCTTTCTCATGCCTAGATAGACCCTAAGAAGAGAGGGGGAGCGACAGGTAACCCAAGTTATTAATAATAACCGTTAGAAAATTACCAACTATTTAAACAAGTGTAAAACCGCAAGAACGGCAAAACATACAGTTTACGTGTGTGTGCGAGATTCTTTGGTTGTAGGAGGTGTTTTTTTACAACGGCTGTGTCAGCACTCCCTTTTCCGATTATGTGCTATTGTTCCTTATTTACGAATAGGCAGTGAAGACCGTAATTAATTATTAAAAGCAGAAAAGTATAATTTGGTTTTGCCGACAGATGTATACCCTCAGCCAATGTTCGATTATTTAAATATATTTTGACTTCTGATATGATTATTCGAATTGCTGACCATCTGGAGTAGGTTCCGAAGGAATAGACCAATATTGTCCATTTCGTATCGGACCTAAATTAATATGATATAAATATTGCGATGTGGTTTCTGGTTGAGAAAAATATTTGGATATAGCAAATTGTAAGGAATCACTGACTTGTTTCGCAAGTTAGGACAGATAAAGGTATCGAAAATTGTGACCCTTTGTGGCTGAGGTATCAGAAGGGGTTCGCAGATATATATCATCTTCACAGTAGATTCCGTGTTAGCAAAAATATTTGTATGTGTGAAATATAAAGAGAACCGGATGCTTATTTCAGATTTTATAATCGTTTTGGTTATTCAAAACTTTGACCCTTTTGTGAGGAAGCTACTAGAAAAAATGGTCGGATCTCTACCATCATCGCAACAGATTTTGTATTCATGGAAATATTGGCATGTACCCAAGTCTGAATGGAATCGGAAGTTAATTTCGCGTTTTATGAGCTTCATGGTTAGTAAAAATGTTGACCCCTTCTGGGGGAGGTACCAGAAGGAATGGGTCGATAAATCTCATCTTTACAACAGATCTTGTGTTAGTAGACATAATGGTTTTTTTTTTAAATTTGATGGGCATCGGATGCCCATTTCGCATTATATTAGTGTTATAGTTATTCCAAATGTTGACCTCTTTGTGGTCAAGGTACCCGAAGGAGTTGGCCGATTTAACCCATCTTCACACCAGAATTTGTGTTAGTAAAAATATTGACATGTGTGAAGTTTGAAAAAGGCGGATGACCATTTCGAATTTTTGTGAGCGTTTTGGTTATTCCAAATTTTGATCCCTTTGTGGCGTAAGTATCAGAAGTAATGGTCCGATCTCCACCATCTTTATAACAGATCTTGCGTTGATAGAAATATTGGGATATGAAGTCAGAATGGAATCGGACATTAATAGCGCATTTTATGAGCTTCATGGATATTCAACATTTTGACCCTTTGTGGGGGATGTACCAGAAGGAGTGGATCAGTATTTCTCATCTCCTTACCAAACCTTGGGTTAATAAAAATATTGTGATATGTGTAATTTGACAATAGTCGGACTCTTACATCGCATTTTATGAGAGTTATAATTTCTCAACATTTTGAAGCTTTGGGTGGGAGGTACTTGATGGAGTGGACCGATATTGTCCATTTTCACAACAGACATAGCAACGATGCAAATATTGGGATCTGCAAAGTTGGAGCAAAATCGGATGATCCTATCTCTTTCTGTGCAATAAAATATTTTCCTAATGTTGACCTTTTGTGGGGGGCGTACCAGGAGGAGTGGCTCAATATCTGCCATCTTCCCAAAAGATCTTGTGTTGATAGAAATATTGAGATGTATCAAGTCAGAATGGAATCGGATGTTAATTTCACGTTTTATGAGCTTTATGGATATTCAAAATGTTGAACCTTTATGGTGGAGGTACCAGAAGGAGTGAACCGATATATCCCACCTTCACACCAGACCTTGGTTTACTAAAAATATTTTGATGTGTGAAATTTGTAGACAATCGGACTCATTTTGGTCCGTTGTGGGGGAGGTACTTGATGGAGAGGGCCGATAGCGTCCATTTTGCCTCCTGAACTAGCACTAATGCAAATATTTGGATTTGCAAAGTTGGATCAAAATCTGATGGTTCCTTCTCTTCTGTGCAATCTTATATTTTCTTTGAAATTTTTGACGTTTTGTGGGGAGGTACCGGAATTAGTGGCTCAATATCTAACATTTTCGCAGCAGATCTTGGTTTGACAGACTCCAAATTTCCTGAAACGGGTTTGGTCCGAAGAGACCTAGGGTCTCCAACCATTATTTCTCCAACCTCTGTAGCCATATGTTTGAGGATATAAACATGTAAAAAAGCAATATGTTCAGGCCAGGCCGAACTTTAAATACCCTTCACCATTTGAAACGAATTTGGAAATTTTCAAAAGAAAAAAAAATTATAAGTTCCGTGAATAATGTAGCTAAACTCATCAAAATACCGAATATAGAGAAGTACCGTTATGTCGGGTCTTTTCGAAGACCTCGTCCTGCATAGACAATTTTCTGTCACAGGCTGTAGTATCTATTAGGAATTTCAAATATAAAATTTCAAACAACTCCGGTTAATATTGGACCTAGAATCAGTCAACATATCGAATATAACGAGGTACTGATATTTGGGGCCTATACGAAGACCTGGACCTGCATATACAATTTTATGTCATAGGCTGTAGTATCGATTATGAACTCTTAATACGAAATTTCAAATATCTCCGGTGAATAATGTCGCTAAAATCATCAAAATACTGAATATAGCGAGGTACTGATATATGGGACCAATACGAAGACCTGGACCTGCACAGATAATTTTCTGTCACAGACTGTAGTTCCCATTACGAAATCTAATACGAAATTTGAAACAAATCCAGTGAATATTGTCCCTAAAATCATCAAAATATCGAATATCGAGGTGTACCGTTGTATGTGAGCTATACGATATCGTGGACCTATATAGACATTTCTCTTCCAGCGGGTAAAGAGCTTAGAAAGAACTTCTTGTGTGAATTTTCAGATAATTCTATGGAAAAATGTAGTTAAAATCACCAAAATACCGAATGGGTTAATATACGATGATATCGTGGACCTATATATAGACAATACTTCTCCAGGGGGTAAAGTACTCAAAAGGAACTCCTTTTGTAAATTTTCAGATAATTTCGTTGGAAAATTTGGCTACTATCATCAAAATATCGAATATCGGCGGGTACCGTTATATGGGGGTTATACGATATCGTAAACCGATATAGTCCATCTTCGGTCTTGACCTGCCTGCAGACAAAAGACTAATCTGTGCAAAATTTTAGCTTCCTATTTTTATTCGTTTTGGCTCTAGCGTCAGGCGAACAGACGGACGGACGAACAGGTCTTAGAATTTTACGCTGATAAAGAATATATACTTTGATTGGTCTAAAATTATTATTTTGATCAGTTACAAACTGAATGACGAACTTAATAGACCCTCCATACTATGGATTGTGGAGGGTACAAAAATAAACGTTTAGTTGGCCCATTAAAAAAAGTATTTTTAAAAAGTCGACGTTTCATTGGTCACCTTGAAAAAAATAATTTGAAAAAAAAATCCAAAATCTTAGATCCAAGTTAAAATAATTATAAAACGTTTTAACGATCTTCAGAATATAACAATATTTAGAAAAAACTAAGTTATGCTAGTCCTCAGAAAGATCCAGTTTCTGTTAGTCCACAAAAATATCTAAAAATTACGTTTTATTGGTCCTTAAAAAGTCCAAAAAAGTCCCAGAATTTGTTTTTTATTCAATTCAAAATTTTGGTTTAAAAGAAATCAAAATTTCATGGCTGTTTAAAAATACTTCTTAAAATACTCCCCGCTTTCAACAATGCAACATATGTTGCTTCTTGATTAAATTTCAAATCTCAAATAACATCAAAAAATCACTTCCTTTCAAAAAAAAAGTCGAAATCCAAATCCTTACCTTGTCGTATGGCACGTATCCAATCGTGACGTTCTTTTTCGCTGTTGGCTACCAAATACAGAGTGTATTGGGGCACAGTACGTTGCGATTGATCATCGGTAGACTCACAATAGCCTACTTGAAAAGGATAACCCTGCAGCGGCATATGATGTCGATGACGATAGGCCAAAGAAGGCAGGCATAGAAACAATCAAAAACAAAAATAAAAAATAAATTAAAAATAAATAAAGAGGAACAAATAAAAACAAAGTAGAAGGAGAAAAACATTGGGTACTCACATCCGGTGCAAAGGGATCTCCACCTTCACCATTTACCGTGGCGATTTCAACAAGTCTGACACCCTTGACAGGTATGCGGCCACGTTCACGGCGACGCTGAAATTAAAAGAAAAAATCAAAAGTTTTGTTAAAAAAACAGAGTTTTTTTAAGAAATTGTGAAACCTTAAAATACAATTTATCAGAAATTTCGAAACAGGATAACTGACCCCAGCGACAGACATATTTTTTATATTCCCCTCTCTCCAAAAAATAATTGAGTTGTTATTTTTATTAGACATCCTGTGAAAGGACCCTCAAAAACCAGGACAACAAGACAACACATGTTAATACGGTAATGTGGATAAGTGTGTGTGCGTGTTTGTTATATCCTTTGCATATTCCACACGTAGGGATAATGAAAAGCAACAGGCACACAGCTGTATGTCATTTTCCTAAGAAGTATGGCCTGGCCACATTCATGAAATATTAACACTTCAAAGGTACACAGCAGCAGAAAAAAAACAAAATACCCTGAAGCCTGCCACAAGTGTGACTTTAATATTTCATTGCGAAACCTACAAGAAATGCAAACTATTTTTTATTCTCAAAAAGGGGAAAGAAAAGCATAACATCTTAAGGGAGGAAATATTTGAAGAGGAATCTTAAAGTGCTGACTGAAATTCTTGTTGACTGGAGAGCCTTTTGAAGCAAGGATTGAGTGATGATATGCAAACAACAACAAAACTATACTAACGGGTCTGAAACAAAGTAATCGAGCTTTTTAAGAGGTCCTTAGAAAAAATATTTAAAAAAAAGTCCGTGAACATGGTCCAAAAAAGGTTTTAATAACCTTTGAATAATATTCCTTAAATCCTTGAAAAAATAGTTTTCTTTGAATATTACGAGAAGATCTTCTTCTTTGAGAAGATCTACGGAACTTCTTCGATGATAAAATCCACAGATCTTCCTCTACGAGAAGATCTACAGATCTTCTATGATGAAAAGATCTACAGATGATCTTACATGAGAAGATCGGCAGATCTTCTATGAGAAGACCGGCAGATCTTCTATGAGAATATCGGCAGATCTTCTATCTACAGATCTGCAGATCTTTTATGAGGAAATCTACAGATCTTTTATGAGAAAATCTACAGATCTTTTATGAGAAGATCTTCAGATCTTCAACGAGAAGATCTAAAGATCTTCTACGAGAAGATCTACTGATCTTCTACGAGAAGATCTACTGATCTTCTGCAAGAAAATCTACAGATCTTCTGCAAAAAAATCTACAGATCTTCTGTGAGAAGATCTACAGATCTTCTGTGAGAAGATCTACAGATCTTCTGTGAGAAGATCTACAGATCTTCTGTGAGAAGATCTACAGATCTTCTGTGAGAAGATCTACAGATCTTCTGTGAGAAGATCTACAGATCTTCTATGAGAAGATCTACAGATCTTCTATGAGAAGATCTACAGATCTTCTATGAGAAGATCTACAGATCTTCTATGAGAAGATCAAGAGATCTTCTATGAGAAGATCTACAGATCTTCTATGAGAAGATCTACAGATCTTCTATGAGAAGATCTACAGATCTTCTATGAGAAGATCTACAGATCTTCTATGAGAAGATCTACAGATCTTCTATGAGAAGATCTACAGATCTTCTATGAGAAGATCTACAGATCTTCTATGAGAAGATCTACAGATCTTCTATGAGATGATCAACAGATCTTCTATGAGAAGATCAACAGACCTTCTATGAGAAGATCAACAGACCTTCTATGAGAAGATCAACAGACCTTCTATGAGAAGATCAACAGATCTTCTATGAGAAGATCGACAGATCTTCTATGAGAGGATGTAACGATCTACTAACAGAAGATCTGAAGAACTTCTATGAGAAGATCTTCGTATCTTCTTCTGTGAAAAGATCTACAGAACTTCTATGAGAAGATCTACAGATCTTCAACTATGAGAAGATCTACAGGTCTTATACTATCAGAAGATCTATAGATCTTCTACTATGAGAAGATCTACAGATCTTCTTCCGTGAGAAGATCTACAGATCTTCTTCCGTGAGAAGATCTACAGATCTTCTTCCGTGAGAAGATCCAAAGATCTTGTAAGATCTACAGATCTTCTTCCGTGAGAAGATCTACAGATCTTCTATATCTACAGATATTCTATGAGAAGATCTACAAATCTTCTCATAGCAGAAGATCTGCAGATCTTCTGTGAGAAGGTCTACATATTTTCTGCTTTAAGAGGATCTCTATCCCTTCTATTAGAAGATCTCCTATAGCACGTATATGAGAAGATTTCCTCTTCCCTGAGAAGATCTCCTCTTCCATGAGAAGCACTTATATGAGAAGATCTCCCATAGCTCCTCTATGAGAAGACCTATAGCTCTTCATTGAGGAGACCCGTAGCTCTTTTATGCGAATAAGACCTTTAGCTAGCTCTTCGATGTGAAGAAAACCTATAGCTCCTCTAGGCGAAGAAGACCTATAGCTCTTCTAAGCGAAGAAGACCTATAGCTCTTCTAGGCGAAGAAGACCTATAGCTCTTCTAGGCAAAGAAGACCTATAGCTCTTCTAGGCGAAGAAGACCTAGAGCTCTTCTATGCAAAGAAGACCTCCAGCTCTTAGAGCTCTTCTATGCGAAGAAGAAGACCTTTAGCTCTTCTATGCGAAGAAGACCTTTAGCTCTTCAATGCGAAGAAGAAGACCTTTAGCTCTTCTATGCGAAGAAGACCTTTAGCTCTTCAATGCGAAGAAGAAGGCCTATAGCTCTTCCATGCGAAGAAGACCTAGAGCTCTTCCATGCGAAGAAGACCTAGAGCTCTTCCATGCGAAGAAGACCTAGAGCTCTTCCATGCGAAGAAGACCTAGAGCTCTTCCATGCGAAGAAGACCTAGAGCTCTTCTAGGCGAGAAGACCATATAGCTCTTCTATGCGAAGAAGACCTATAGCTCTTCTATGCGAAGAAGACCTATAGCTCTTCTATGCGAAGAACAGCAATAGCTCTTCTATGCAAAGAACAGCAATAGCTCTTCTATGCGAAGAACAGCAATAGCTCTTCTATGCGAAGAACAGCAATAGCTCTTCTATGCGAAGAACAGCTATAGCTCTTCTATGCGAAGAACAGCTATAGCTCTTCTATGCGAAGAACAGCTATAGCTCTTCTATGCGAAGAACAGCTATAGCTCTTCTATGCGAAGAACAGCTATAGCTCTTCTATGCGAAGAACAGCTATAGCGCTTCTATGCCAAGAAGACCTATAGCTCTTGTATGCAAAGAAGACCTATGGCTCTTCTATGCCAAGAAGACCTATAGCTCTTGTATGCAAAGAAGACCTATGGCTCTTCTATGCGAAGAAGGCCTATATGGCTCTTCTATGCAAAAAATACCTATATGACTCTTCTATGCGAAGAAGACCTATACAGCTCCTCTATGCAAAAAACACCTATAGCTCTTCTATGCGAAGAAGACTTTTAGCTCTTTTATGCGAAGAAGACCTAGAGCTCTTCTATGCGAAGGAGACCTATAGGTCTCCAGATCTCCACATTTTCCCACATAAGATCTGCTTTTAATCATTTCTAGGCCATCCCGAGTAGCTGTGAATTATGATCGTCCATTTGTTATAAGAATTAATGTTTTTTTTTTTTCGCCAGCTACCTATTGACGATATGACATTCTCTACTTCACTTTCGGAATTTTCGAAATGTAGGTCTGGCCACTGCTCCGCTCTGATCCGGCGTGCCGAAACCGATTGTAGTTCGCATGTCTGATTAATGTAACATTAATTGACTTTCACTTCCTTTCAATTTCAATTTTAACGAAAAAAAAACACTTTAATTTTGTTTCAAAAAGCAAAACAGCAGCAGCAACAACAACAAAAAACTAAATGCGATTATGTGCGATGGACTAACTGAGTGCTGACCACAGTAGTGGACGATGTCCAGTAGTGGTGGTAAAAACAACCGCGAAGATGATGACTGCGGTGATAATTTGCCTGAAAACGACGATATTATCCGGCTTATGTTGTACAACAACAATAACAACAACGATAACAAAATGTTGTTGTTGAACTGAAAGTTAACACGTTTACCTGGCCAGCACAGAGGCAACCAGCTCAAGAGGCAATCCAGAAAATTGCATGAAATGGGGGGTATTGAAATTTTCGATGACGAAGAAGACGACGGCGATGATGATGTTGATGTTGATGTTGAACAAAAATTATTGAGTTTTGTAAACAAATTCAATTTCTTCGCCTCGCCTCGCTTTGCTATGCATGTAATCTGAGAATGATGAAGTGAGGCAATTTGTTGTTGTTTTTATTTTATTTTATTGCTTGACGGCGTGACTGACATTAAAACGTTATTAATTGAAAATACATTTTGTATTTTGTGAAATTTCTGGGTTAAATGAAAAGTTGATTGGAAAGACCTAAATAATAAATATTGAAGGGAAATGCAAAGAATTGTTTTTATGCCGGGGGGTATTATAATTTTGATTGGCCCTAAAAGTTGGTAACCTCTCGAAATATTGTTCTTGGGAATATCATGGATCTTCCTATCTTGCCAAGCTGAGTCTATCTAGCTACGTGTTTCCGTCTGTCCATGTTAATTGGTAAAGAAGCTACAAGTCCAATTATGGCCTCACCCGCATGAAGGTAGGGGATGAAGGTATGGATAGGGTCAGAAAAGAAGCCATTTTTTTGGCGAGATGATGGACAAATATTTTAAGGGGTTGAAATGGATCAAAAACAGAAAAACTTCTTGATTTTGCAGTTGCTCTAGAGCTCACAAATTTAAAGCAATCGACTCGGAATTCTGCATGAGGCTAGAGTTTAGGACAGGGCAAAAGGCTACCAATTTAGATAATTATCGGATAATATTTAAAAGGGTGGAAGGGATCATAAATTGTATGTAAAAAATACGAAAAATTCCATAAACCGCGAATACTTTGAATTCCAGCGAAATTACAAAGTTCCAGCGAAAGAAAAGTTCTGTTCAGACCGTTACATAGATGCTGATATCCAAGGCATCGCATGTGGCTTAACTCTAGTTTAGTAAAAACTAGAAACTTTTTCCCGAGGTAGGTATTCATAACC